ATACTATACTGCCAGTTCGGTGTAGTGGTTAGGAGCGCAGACTCTAATCTGAGAAAACTGGGTTTGATTCTCCACTCCTCCACATGCAGCTGCTGGTGTGACCTTGAGTCAGTTACAAGTTCTTTCAGAGCTATTCTCTCACAAGCCGTCCTCGAAAGAGATCTCTCAGTCCCACCTACCTCACAGGGTGTCTGTTGTGGGGAGGGGAAGGGAAAGGAGATTATAAGATGCTCTGAGACTCCTTTGGGTAGTGAAGGGCGGGGTGAAAATAAAATCTCTTCTTCTCCTGCTCTTCTTCTGAACACAGAAGTTCCATATGGTCACCACCATAGCTAATAGCCACTGAGTGACCTATCCTCCATTAATTTATCTAACCCTCTTTTAAAGCCAACAGAAGTCTAGTTAATTATGCATCATATTAATTTTTTGACTTACAGATACTGCTGACAATATTTTATAAGAAAGATTCAGGAAAACTGAACAGAAAATGGCACAAAACCAATGGGTTCAATTTGTACAAGGAAGAAATTGATGCAAATGGAGGGGGGTGTTCCAGATTGAAACAAGTGGGATGAGATATACTTACTTACTTTGACAAGCCTTTCTTGGCATACGTATATACATACAATAGGAGATAGGATGAGATATCTGAAAGCCTCCCTGTTGCTGATTAGAAAGTAATTTTCAAAGAATCCCAGTAACATCAAAAGAAATTTTACTATGTTGTGAATAAAGAACTAAACTTTTAACTTTACAAATGCAGGTGGAGTTTGTCCAAGAGCTGCCCAAAACAGTTGCTGGGAAAATCCAAAGGAACATATTAAGGATCCAGGAATGGAAAAAAGCCTAGCTTCAGCCGCATGTTTACCTACGAAGAACCTCCCATTCTCCTTAATCTTCCTGTGTCCTTGGTTGCGATGGAGCTTTCCCAGGCTTTGGTTCTGATATCTCAAACAAAGAGGTCCCGTGAAACTATGGGACCAGACAGGTGATACCCTCCTCACCCCAAAGTTTCTGCACACAGTTTGCAACTGAGGCCGACCTCCCACACGGTGCCAGGCTCCTTGACACACTGACGTCTCACCAGATCAGTCAATGTAAAGTATGCCCTTCAAGGACGATGTGCCGTCTTAGGAGAGCAAGAAACAAAAAAGGAAATACGAGCAGGGATCTATTACTTGCTTACCTGACCTGCTTAGCAGACGGGGACAGGATGGCTCCCGGGAACACATTATGGGGGATGGCACTACTCACAATTTGTGGTGCACAACACATTATGGGGGATGGCACTACTCACGATTTGTGGTGCACACTGTAAGAACATAAGAACATAATCAATGTTGGATCAGGCCAAAGTTGGATCAGGCCAAAGGCCCATCCAGTCCAACACTCTGTGTCACATAATCAGCAGAAATCCCTCCCCAGTACCTTTTGTACGGGCACATGTGCTCTCTCTCTCGCCCTCTCTCTCGCCCTCTCTCTCATACACAAATCCATGCCACAGCTTTATACTGCAGCCCCACCCTGTTTCAAGTGATTCTGTGGAAAAGCATTTCAGGGACATGGATGCTCACCATGAAGAAAGGACAAGGATCCATTCTGTGAACTTGTTCCATTCAAAGTTCACCGGATCCAATAATCAGCAGAAATCCCTCCCCAGTACCTCTTGTACGGACACATACGCTCTCTCTCTCGCCCTCTCTCCCATACACAAATCCATGCCACAGCTTTATACTGCAGCCCCACCCTGTTCCAAGTGATTCTATGGAAAAGCATTTCAGGGACATGGATGCTCACCATGAAGAAAGGACAAGGATCCATTCTGTGAACTTGTTCCATTCAAAGTTCACCGGATCCAACTTGACATTTATACTGGTCAGTTTCTCAAAAACTGCTTGGAATTCCAAGGCCTTCTCCTCATCACTCACCTACCCAGCACATAACTAATCTGCCCTTTGGTGACATCAGAGCAGCTAAGCCAATGGCTGTCAGAAGCACCAAGATACATTTGCATGTCCAGGACCACCAGGGTGAGAGCAGACCAGCCACTCCACTGCCAGGTGACACTCACAGCACATGGGCTGTGAACATACTAGCCCCATATGCACATATTCAAAAACAGACTTAGATCTTCTTTCCATTCATCTGCTGAAGCATAAAAGTTGGGCCAGATCACGTTGCCTTTTATTCACTTGCAATTTTATATAAGAGTGCTGTGAAAATGTATTTTGTCCTATTGACTTTGAAACTCATTCTATCACTTGCCCTATGGATTTGCCATCAGGAGGTCCACCAGTGGGGCCAGGACATTAGAAGCCCTCCCACTGTTGACCCCTCCAAGCACCAAGAAGACAGAGCATCACTTGCCCCAGAGCCCCTATCTATACCTTGTGGCTAATAGCCACTGATGGACCTCTGCTCCATATGCTTATCTAATTCCCTCTTGAAGCCGTCCATGCTTGTAGCCGCCACCACTTCCTGTGGCAGTGAATTCCAAGTGGAAGGGAAGGCTGCATGGTATACCCGATCTTTTCAGATCTTGGAAGCTCAGCAGGGTCAGTACTTGGATGGGAGATCACCAAGGAAGGCTTTGCAGAGGAAGGTAACAGGAAACCATCTCCACTTGCCTTGAAAGCCCCTTGCTAGGGTTGCCATAAGTCAGTTGCGACTTGACAGCACTTGTATGCATACTGATCCCGTGCTCCATGATTTTGTCTAACCTGGTTTTAAAGCTATCTTCTGGCAGTGAAAATTCCATGTGAAGTTAGAAGGGAGTCATAGGTTCAACTTAGGGGTTGAACCTATGACTCCCTTCTACAACGCTGGATCCTTCTACTCCCTTCCACCAAGTCTTCCTCCAACAGTAGGGTTGCCAAACAAAGATAGATTTTTTAGATTTTTTTTCCACCAGAAGAAGGCTCTCCATCAGAAAAGAAAAGAGTCCCATGAGGAAAAACTCCACAGAGGACAGTCGAAGGGTCCAGCTTTACAGAAGGGAGTTACAGGATCCAACCCTTACGTTTTCCACACCACTCAAATAATTTTTCCAGTGTACAAAATTATTATTAACAACAACAAGATTTTTACCTCTAACCCCAACTTTCGGCCCCCATAGGACCACCAAGGCCGCTAACAAATTAAAACATAAAAAATTAATTCTCATCTTAAAAGCCATTAAAACCAACACACAAATGCATCATTAAAACAAGCTAAAACAAAATTTCAGAAGCCCTCTCAAAAATGAAAAATAATAAAACTCCGGGAAGAGATGGTATTCCTATTGAGTTTTATAAACATTTCAAACCAGAAATAGAACAACACCTTTTAAATACAACCAATGCAGTTCTAACTTCTGGTACAATGCCCAAATCATGGGCAGAGGCAAGGATAATAGTAATACCTAAACTTGGTAAGGATAAATTGCTTCCATCTTCTTACCGACCCATTTCGGTCTTAAACCATGATTTTAAAATATTGTCCACAGTTCTAGCTAACTGTCTGACTAAAATAATAACTCACTATATTCATAAAGACCAAGCTGGCTTTATGCCCAGATGAACTATAACTGACAATATAAGGAAAACTATCAATATCATTGAATTCTGCAAAGCTAAACATGTAAATACAACAATTCTGTTGAGGCTGAAAAAGCATTCGACTGGGTAGAACCCTGATATTTACAGAATTTGCTTATGTTATATATATGAATTTTGGTACATTATTTAACAATGCAATTAAAGCAATCTACGCAGACCCAATAGCACAAATTTCAGTTAACAACTATAGGTCAGCTAATATCCTACTGACTAGAGGCACATGTCTGTCAGGTTCCACAGCCAACAACTGAGTACACACTTGTCAGAAAGGTTATACTTTATTGCAGAGCTATAGATGCATTAACATGGTCACTGTTAAGAATGGTGACGTTTCTACAAGCATAATGGGATATAGGGTATTTGTATGCACACACCCCATCCATAGGCCAATTGGCCTGACTCCCGCGTGTGGGAGAAGGGGCCCTAGACCGTTAGAGCCGAAGCTGGGAATTGAAAGCTATCCCACGGTTACATGATGCCCAGACACTACACAGGCAATCTACAAGGTCAGTGATAATGAAGTACTACAGAAGCAAAGAAGGAATGCAGCAGCGGCTGGTACACAGGTCAAGCAAATGAACCCCAGCCCATAAACATCATGGCAGCATAGCTGACAACGTCAGGGCTGTCCCTTATCCCCAATTTTGTTTGCTTTGTCCCTAGAACCATTGGCATATACTATTAGAGAAAATAGGGATGTCATAGGTATTACAGTTAGTAAAGAAACCTGTAAAATAAGTTTATTTGCAGATGATGCTATATTTTATATGAAAGAACCTAAATATTCTATTAGAACCTTATTACAAATTATTGAGAATTTTAGTGTAATTTCAGGATTTAAGATTAACTATGATAAATCAGATCTTTATCCTATTAATATTACACAAGATGAAAAACAAGAAATGACTTCACTATACCCTTTTAAATGGGTCACTAAACAGTGGAAACATTTGGGTGTAAATATCCCACTGGATTTGGCAGATTTAGCAAAATCAAATTATAATCCCTTATTTAGTGAAATAAAGAAAACTCTACAAGATTGGCAGAAAATAAAGTTCTTCTTACTGGAAAAAGTAGACCTTTTAAAATCTATTTTGTTACCTAAGTTTTTATTCTTATTCCAAAATCTGCCTGTAGTTATACCCAATAAAGACTTTAAGGAATGGAAATCAACTTTTACTAAATTCCTTTGGGACAATAAGAAATCCCGTATTAAATACTCACAATTTAAAAAGCCAATAAAACAGGGAGGTCTTGGGTTACCTTTCCTGGAAATGTATTTTATAACAGCTCAAATAAAAGCAATATTTTACTATGCAGATCCACAATGTGAAAAATCATGGACTACTATTGAAACAGAGAGCCTTAATCCAGACAAGATACATGAAGCAATCTGGAATATCCCAAAAGACAGATGTCAATTATCTACACCAAATGATTTCTTAAAATTTACACTACAAATGTGGGACAAATATAGAAATGTTCTTGCTCCAGGTGTATCTCCCATTACAGCTTTTTTAGGTCAACATTGGTTTAAACCAGGTAGAGAAGAGGAAAAATATATATCCCAATTGGAACAGAAACATGGGATTAAGCTACAGTGGTTTCAATATCACCAATTAAGACATATGTTTAACGAGGTCAACATTGGTTTAAACCAGGTAGAGATAATAACCAATTTTCAATTTTAAGAGGAAAAATATATTTAGACTAAATAATAATCAATTAGGTTCACAATCCCAGTTGGAACAGAAACATGGGATTAAGCTACCGTGGTTTCAATGTCACCAATTAAGACATATGTTTAACAAGGTATCTAGGGCAACATCTTTAGATAGACCTTTAACTCAATTTGAGAGAATTTTATATAAAACCACAACTAATTCTAAAGGTATTATTTCAATTATTTATAATTTATTAAATAACAAATTATGGAATAAAAAAACTTCTACCCAAAAGGTTTGGGAAAAGGAATGTAACATTTCTATAAATGAAGAACAGTGGAATCATATTTGGAACTCCTTCACATTTACCACCAATAATATGAATGTTAGACATATAAAATATATACTAGATAGTATTTGACACCTAACCGTTTATTTTAATGCAAATTTAAAACCAACCCAACCTGTTAGAAGGGTTGTGGACAGAAAGGAAATTTTATACATTGTTGGTGGGCCTGTCCCAACATCTTTAAATACTGGGAAAAAATCCTTCATGAAATTCTTAAAATCACTGGGCATGAGATTCCTAATACTCCTGAATCTGTGCTTCTAAATTACTGGCCCAAATTGACATTAACAAAACAAAAAACTGAAACAATTTCGTTGTTGCTTTTTGCAGCAAAGTCAATACTGGCACAAAGATGGAATAAGAATGGAGTTCCACGTTTGAATAACTGGTATACTAAACTGTGGGGTGTAATTATAGCAGATAAGATAGCAACTCAATTACGGGTTGCCCAAGAAAAATGAAGAAGAAGAATCTTCTTGAAAAATGTTTTTTTACTTTGATTATGTTTCCTCACATCCTAATGCAATGACAAAGTTACCTCATAAATATAAAGTTGTCGCAATTTATTAAATTGATTGAATAGTTACAAGTTGTTCTGTTATCAAAGAATATGATATAGGCAGCCAATGTTGATAATTTTTGAAGTGCAAAGTTGTTGTTATGTTTAGGTGTTCTAAAATCAATAAAAATTATTTTTTTTAAAAAAAGGAGCTAAAACCAGAGCCTGAAATAAATATAAAAGATGAAAGGAACAGTTAAAACACTGGGGAAGAAGGAGGGAATGCCAAGCTAAAGAAAGTCTTCAACAGACGGCAACAGAAGGGCACTAGTGAATCTCCCCGAGGAGAGATTTCCCGAGCTTTGGTGCCACAACCAAGAAGGCCCTCTCCCAATTGTCACCTGCCTAAACTCAGGTGGGGGCACCCAAAGGAGGCCCTGTGGAGATGACCAAGTGGCTCATAGGCTCACATGTATCCAGCTGAACATTACAATAAACCATGTAAAGTAGTGCTTTCTCCTGCCTGCCCTGAATCTGCCACTAATGAAGGACACGCGATCTTGAATGTAAAGCCACTGTTGACCCCCCCCAAGCACCAAGCCTGAAATAAATATAAAAGATGAAAGCAACAGTTAAAACACTGGAGAAGAAGGAGGGAATGTCAAGCTAAAGAAAGTCTTCAACAGACAGCAACAGAAGGGGACAAGCGAATCTCCCCGAGGAGAGAGTTCCAGGGCTTTGGTGCCACAACCAAGAAGGCCCTCTCCCAATTGTCACCTGCCTAAACTCAGAAGGCGGGGGCACCCAAAGCAGGCCCTGTGGAGATGACCAAAGTGGCCCATAGGCTCACATGTATCCAGCTGAACATTACAATAAACCATGTAAAGTAGTGCTTTCTCCTGCCTGCCCTGAATCTGCCACTAATGAAGGACACGCGATCTTGAATGTAAAGTCAGGAGGGTTTTTTGGCAGATCTTGGAAGGAAGGATCCTGTTAGCTTCTGTTAAAATGTGGGTGAAAAGGGAAAAGGGAAGGGGAGGCAAAGTTCTGAAGGGCAAGGTACTGCCATGTCTTACTTACTGTGTAAATTATTGGAGGACACTGGCATGCAATGCCTTGCCCTTCTGCATACTTTCAGCTGTGCACATCGCTCTACCAGGGCAGCATGTACCAAGGCTGGAGAGAGTGTGCAGCAGGTCCAGCGTTTTCCAAACCACAGAATCAATGCTCTTTCTTGGGAAGCCAGAATAACCAGTGGAGCAGCTCTTTCTCCAGAGGTCTCCGGCTGCTATCAGTCTAACAGGTCAGTAACGCCATACCCTCTAGCGTCTCACAGATGAAAACAGGGACGTGGGGGCTGCTGAGAGCACCCACAGACGTGCTCCCAGTCTTGGAGGAAGGACTGGTTACAAATCTGTAGATATCTAGATAGAGTTGTCTATAAATTTAGAACAGCAGTGCCCATTCACAAGAACCGGTGATCATATAATCCCTTGCATAGAAATATCACAGATGGTTCCTCTTGCATTTCCCTGTTTGCCATTCCCTGTTAATCTACGTCACCAAGGAAGGTGCATTCTGCACTCTCCATACGAGGCCCTTTCCATAAAACTGGGGCCCTTACTGAATGGGCACGCGCCTTTACTCTAGATGTGCACAATTTGAGAAGTGAATCTAAGTTGGCCTGCGGATTGTTCCACTGCTCTGCTTATAAAACAGATAGATGAAGGAGTCTAGAACAAAGATACGCAGCTGCCTGATGCTGAATCAGATCACTGGTCCATCAAAGTCAGTGCTGTCAGCTCTGACCAGCACCAGCTCTCCAGCATCTCAGGCAGAGCGCCTTTCTCATCACTTGCTACCAGGTCTTTTAACTGGAGATGTCAGGGATTGAACTTGGGACCTTCTGTAGGCAAAGCAGAGGCTCTGCCACTGAGCCATGTTGTTGTTGTTCAGTCACACAGTCGAGTCCGACTCTCCGCGACCCCATGGACCAGATCACACCAGGCCTTCCGGTCTTCCGCCGTCCTCTGAAGTTTACTCAACTTCATGTTCGTTGCATCTATGACACTGTCTAACCATCTCATCCTTTGCTGTCCCCGTCTTCTTTGACCTTCCTTCTTTGACCTTCAATCTTTCCCACCCTTCATACTGTAGACTCTGTGTTGTACTATTTTGGTTTATTGTGCTGGTCTTATGACTGTTCTTAATAAATAATAATGCCATGGCCCTTACCCAAATATTGGCAGAGCGCATGCAACTCTGTTGTTGCATTAATATTGGCAATTATTGAATGGGGGGGGATGCTGGAAAGAAGCGTGGAAAAGAAGCTTATAGTGTAATACGTACTCAGCCATTTTAAAAAGAAACCCCCCACATATCCCCTGAAAGCAAAACAGGGACAGCGATTCCCAAGGACCAGTAATAGGCATGGCTTTAAACAAATAAACGATCTCATGAGCATCAGACATGTGACAAAATAATTTACTTGCAGACCTACAACAAAATAATTTCTGCTTCCCTTCATCATTTTTTCCTAGACTATTTCCTAACTTTGTTGCTGAGATCTAATTCTTCTACCATGAAGACTTTACTGAGATCACAGATCCTCACGTCCTTCTGGAGACGTCAGGGACCTCCTGGGGCCCTTCATAGACACGGTCGGCTGCTTGGTGCTCCCATTTCTGCAAAGTACAGAGTCCTCCAGAGCCACGGGGAGCAGCAACTGCCAGAGCACTTTAACTACGCCAGTGATGTGCTAGATAAATGGTCCCAAGTGGAAAAGGTAGATGTGCTCTTCAGCTAGAGCTTAGCCAGGTCTTTCCGAGTCAATACCTGTCATGTCTTCTCCCCCAGAAATGCAAAAAACTGGCAGGCTGGACCTCCACAACATTTTTAAATAGCAGCCTAACAGGGACCCTGACTCAGATCTGGATTGTGGCATGGGGGGGGGGGTTAACAATCCCCCCCTCCCCAGGTTTCCTGACCTCAGATAGCACCTCTGCCTAAAGTTGCTCTACTGCGGGAAATAGAAAGGTTGCGCTTTTTAAGGAGAAGCTGCAGATACAGACAATGAAACCACTGCACAGCCACATCAGTACATGCTTGATGACGATGTGCCGGCATCATGTCGACTACCGTAATCCCTGATTCGCTGGGGTCTCATAATTGGGTAGGAGGCTCCCGATCTAAACAAGAAGTTTAACTCGGTGTAGTGGTTTAGAAGGGGCCATGGTGGCTCAGAGGTTAAGACGCTGAGCTGCAGACCGGAAGGTCTGTAGTTCAGCAGTTCGAGACCCGGGTTGCCGCATGACGGAGTGAGCTCCCGTCTCTGGCCCCAGCTCCTGCCGACCTCGCAGTTTGAAAGCAAAAAATTGCAAGTAGATAAATAGGTACCACTTCGGTGGGAAGGGAACAGTGCTCCGTGCGCCTCGGCATTTAGTCACGCCGGCCACATGACCACAGAGTAGTCTTCAGACAACGCTGGCTCTTCGGCTTGGAAACGGAGATGAGCACCACCCCCAAGAGTTGGATTCGACTGGCTTTTGAGCAAGGGAAACCTTTACTTTTCAGTGGTTAAGAGCATGGACTCTAATCTGGGAGGACCGGATTTGATTCCCCTCTCCTCTACATGCAGCTGCTGATGTGACCTTGGGTCAGTCGTAAGCTGTTCTCTCAAGGGTAGTTCTCAAGAGAGCTCTCTCAGCCCCACCTACCTCACAGGGAGTCTGTTGTGGGGAGGGAAAGGGATTGTAAGCCACTCTGAGACTCCTCTGGGTACTGAAGGGTGGGGTATAAGTTCAGCCTCTTCTACTTCTTAAGGTGCAGTGGGTGGGTGGGAGAACAGGACGACTCCGGGCAATGGTTCCCAAGATTGGCTCTCAGCCAGCAGGCTCCCAGGCAGCCTTCGGCAGCCTCAACTCCACCGGCCAGCAGAATGGATGGGGGAAAGGTGGGTCCAGCAGACCTGAGGGCTGCAGGCTCCAATGGGGTCCAAAGTTAAAGTTTAAAATGCACTGGGCATTCGAAGCAAACCAACCTGTCCACCCCAGGTTCTGGAATACTATTTCTGTTGTTGCCATTTCACCCTTGCTATGTTCACAGGGGGTTGCTGGTTTACAGGGCCGGGAAGGAATTTCACCATGGGTTCTGATTGGCTGATAGGCCCTGGGGGGGGGGGTTTCACCTTCCCCACAACAAGGACTATGCACTATGTATGCTTGACTGTACTGCCAAAAAGAACATAACTGACACAACTGGCTACTGGCATCTAGGCATTGGCTGGGACACACAGTGCAGGCTGTACAGATTGACCCCCCCCCCCTTAATGGGCTCTGGAGGCTGGGTGCGCGACAGTAGAGGGCATTAGGGAGTTATTTGTACACACAAAAATGTTCATATGTCCGTATGCTCAATGAAGAAGCAAGCAAACCATTTCCCACACCCGTGTGTATCCACTGCACAGGATGGAAAGAGACCTCCCAACCCAGCGTTCTGGTGGATAAACGGCAGAGGAGGTGAAGTCAGGTGGAGTTTTGAGGAGCTGGGAGCCCTGTCCAGGAAAGCGGCCAACGTTCTCTCGGACCACTGCGGGCTGCGAAAAGGAGACAGGCTCATCATCATTCTCCCCCGGATCCCAGAATGGTGGTTGGTGACTGTGGCGTGCATGAGGACAGGTCAATAATAATTGAAAAAAGAGACTGCAAAAGCTAGCAGAACATAACAGAACACTGGTTTGCTGAGAGTAGCTGTGGCAGGGACCGTTCTGGAAGTCACATGTAATGAGCTGGCTGCTCAATATGTACATAAAGCGCGCGCGCTACAATGATGCAACCCAGAAGTGATGAGCTGGCTGCTCAATATGTACATAAATCCCCTCAGGTCACAACTAGGGTTGCCAAGTCCTACTCAAGAAATAGTGGGGGGAATCCAGGACGTTCCCGGGAGTCCTCTGGCACATGCGTGAAGCGCGCGCGCCGCAATGATGCAACCCAGAAGTGACGTCATCATGTTGGGGGCGTTGCCACACAATGTGCCCGACACAATGAGGTCACCTCCGGGTGACATGTTCACGCCGGGCACGTCACACACTTTGGGGGTGGGGTTCCCCCTAGTGGCCTGATCCGGGCCAGCTGGGAATTGGCCTCTCGGGGGGGGGACTTGGCAACCCTAGTCACAACTGACTTATGGCGACCCCGGCAACGGGCTTTCAAGGCAAGCGAGAAGCAGGGATGGTTTGCCATGGCCTCCCTCTGCAGAGTCTTCCTCGGTGCTGGTCTCCCATTCAAATACTGACCCTGGTTGAGGTTTTGAGGTTTGGTGAAAGTGGGCTGTCCCATACTGCCTTCCCACCCAGCGGCTCAGCAGGGGTGTACAAATGCACATGCACGGGGGTGGGGGGGGGTACTTGCACGCACAGCGATTTTCATCCTGTCTGTGACCTTTGGGAAATTTGCCTTTTTCGTCTGTTTCTGCCATGTGGTTTAGATGCAAACAGAGGCATTGATTTAAACGATAGTTTATGTCAAATGATACCATTGGAGTGGGGTGGGGGACGGAAGAATGACAGCCATTTTGTCCCAAGCGTGGAGAAGCCATAAAAGGGAGCTGAACTTTCACACTGAACTGGGGTTGTCGCAAAATTAAATAACGTTCCATTCTGCGCAACAGCCAACGGTCCACCAACAGTGAACCGCCCAAACTGTGAGGGCCACAGTGCAAGCTGCCTTCTGTGCTTCTCTCTCGTTCTGGCAGGCGTCGTTGCCATCCCCGGGACATCCCAGTTGACAGCCAAAGACATCCAGTACAGGCTCCAGGCTTCCCGGGCCAGATGCATCATCACTACGGATGCTCTAGCACCTGCCGTGGACTCTGTGGCGGCCGAGTGCCCCTTCCTGGAAACCAAACTGATGGTGTCTGAAGGCAAGAGAGACGGGTGGCTGAACTTCAGTGGCCTCTGCAAGTAAGTAGTCCTCATTGTGTGTCTTCTGCAGTCATAGCTCCATGATACGTGGGGACCACTGTACCCTCTAAGCTGAGTTAGTGTGAGCTAGCTCACAGTTTTTTAGCCTCTGGCTCACACATTTTCGTCTCAGCTCAGGAAGGAGGGCTCCAGAGCAAACTAATTGATGCAGCAGCCAAATCGCTCGCTCACAACTTTATTGCCGGCAGCTCACAAGGTAGAATTTTAGCTCACAAGCTTAGAGGGAACATTGGTGGGGACCACGTCCTCTTACCTATCTGCTTAATCAATTTTTGTCCTGGCTTTTTCCCAAGGAGGTCAAAGTAGTGCACACAGTTCTCCTTTCCTCAGCTTTATCCTCACAACAAAGCCGTGAGGTTGTTTATATGAAGAAAGACGGACTGGTGAAAGACCACCCAACAAGCTTTGTGGCTGAGCGGGGATATCCCTCTCACATCCCCCTAACATTTTACCAAAATTTGCCAATGAGTACATGTGCTGTCCCCAAATAGAGCAAAGAGCACCCCCTGAAGTGCTTTCAGGCCAGCAAAACAGCATGGGGGGGGAGGCTGATCCCTCCATGTGGTCCCCATCCAAATCAAGGGGGCCATGCAGTTAGGGAAAGGGTTCCCTTGCACCTGTTTAACTCTCTGTTTCAAAGTCCAATTTGGGGAACCCGAACGCTGCATGCTAAAAATTGGACTTCACTTTTGAAGGTCACCCAGGTCATTTTCCCTCAGCCGAGCCTACCTTGAAAGGATGTCGCAAGGGCAGAATGGAAGAGGGGATGATGTACAACCCCCCACCCTTGAGCTCCATGCAGAGACAGATCCTTTAACCTCCATGATGCTGTTTTTTCCACAGAGAGGCCTCTGCTGACCACACCTGTGTGAAAACAAAACTTCAAGACCCAATGGTGACTTTTTTTACCAGTGGAACAACAGGTGCACCCAAGATGGTTGAGCATTCTCAAGGAAGCATGGGTTTCAGACCCATCAGGCATGACAGGTATATGGACAACAAGCTTTCTTTGATGTGTGTTCTTCTTCTTCTTTTTGGCCCCCGCAAAGGGGATTTTTTTATTGCATTTTTAATTGGACTACAAACTACAACGAAGATAGGGGAAGGGAACTACAATTAAGGAGAAAGAAAAGATAACCACTACTAACTAAAACCCCAAGAGATCATTACAACAGCTTGAGTACAAAATCTTTCCTTAAATCGCTAATATCTTTTGAACTTAGTCAGATATACAAAAATATCTTTTAAATCTTAGATTTAACTGTTAGAGAGAAACCCCAGAGCATCTCATTATTAAAAGCTATAAAGGCACAATTCAGAGTCCTTCAGCCTTCATTTTTTGTTATCTTGTCTTTTCCTCAGTTTGTATGGACTTTTAGGGGCAGCCGCCCCTTTTTCAGAAAGGGAGTCCTCTCCTGAAGACCCCGAGTCCAACTCGCCACTGGACTTGCTGTCTTTCTCCTCTTTATCCTCCTCCTCTGGGTCACCCAACTGGATTCTCAAAAACGCCGGTGTTTTGGAAACAGAGTCAATCTTTTCTTTTTTATCCTGAAGTTTGAAGGTTACATCCTCTGGAATTAACCACCTGTACACGATTGCATTTGTTTGAAGAAAAAGAATTAAATCTTTATATTTCTTTCTCCTTTGTCTTATTTCAAATGGAATATCTTTCAAGATCCTGATATTATTGTCCCCAATTTTTAAGGGTGACCATGCAGTCACTCTCAGGATAGAATCCCTCACATGACTCTTCGAGAATCTCATTACTATTTCCCAAGGCAGATTATTCTTCTTTATATATTTGGAATAAGACCTGTAGGCAACATCCATCTCGCCGTAAGGTATTCCGCCTTCAAATCTGTCACCGGGGCTAATGCTTTGCTCATAATTTGCTTCAGATTCTCGCCTTTGGATTCTGGGACACCTTGGAATCGAAGGACCAGGTTTGCCTTCTCCATTTGTAGCTGTAAACGTTGTTCTTCTGTAGAGACTTGCTTCTTTTCCAGTTTTTGCACCTTTTTCTTCACCTTTTGGGTACTGGCATCAACTTCTTTCACTTTCTCAGCTGTTTGCTCCGTGATTTTAAGAGTCTCGTTCAATTGAAGCTGCTGAGTAGCGATGCTTTGATTCATCATTGACAGCTGTTCCTTGAGATTAGTCATCTGGTCCAGCAGGGGGCGCAGGGATTCTGCCAACGTTTTAGCCAACTTGGTGGTTTCTTCCGGATGAGGGCTCCCAGCTACTTTTGCTTTTAAAAGTTTTTCTTTCTCTGTCCTCTTCCCCGCCATCTTTATGGATTGTTTACTTTCCGGAAATTTGCTAAAGTCTCTGAATGTATGCTCATACGCTCATCCGTATGGTAAGTCTCTCCCAACAGATTTCAGCATTTTTACTTCTGCTCCCCCCTCGGATCTCACTTTTTAATTTGTGCGCATGGGAGGGGCCCCTCCCCCGCTTGCTTTACTCTCTAGTCCATGGGGTGGGAGCTTTCTTTTTAAATTGTCAATTATGCTCTAATCCGACTGACAGTTCATAGTCGGTATTGCAACCTCGCTGTAACTCCATTTAAACCGCTCTATCTCCAGCGCTTGTCCTGGTCAGCGTCACTAGTTCCATACGAACACACAGCAGGAGGACTGTCAGGACAGAGAAGCGCCTTGATTCCCCAGCATCGCGCTGGTGAAGAGGCTACCTCTCAAAAGTCCCATAGCTAGGAGCCTTTCAACTAGGCTCTGGGGGGTAGCGAGACGTCGCCCCCCCCTCTCACCTGGAGATTGGCAGCAATTGTTACCCAGGACAAAATGGCTGGTTTGGAGGGTGGAGTTGGCAACC